AAAAGAAAAAAGCCGGAAGTGGCACTATGGCTCAAGTGGTAGAGGGCTAGCCTTGAGCTGAAGAGCTGAGGGACAGCACCCAGGCCCAGAGTTCAGTCCCCACGACCGGACCCCCCCCCAAAAAAAGAAAAGAAAATGTCAGGGAGAAAATCAAATGCCAAACAAAAATATTCAGTTGGTATAAAATTAAGGGGAAAAAAATCCCAGAGAGTCTCATTATTATTTGACATAAATATTCCCTTACCAATTTATCAATAAAGAACTTCTGAAATGAGCTTTTATCTTCATTTGCAAATGATATTAGGTTTTAGTTGAGAGGAGGGGAATGTAGAAGAGGGGAATTTTCAACTCCAGAGTTGTTTTAGCTTCATGTCCAGTGTGTAAGATAATTAAATTGCATATGTTATTTCATGACTGGTAAAAGCTTTCGGGTTCAATTATTTTAGAATGATTTCAATTGTTTTGTAGAAGTTGAAGCATGTAGTGGGGGTGGATTGGTTAAAAGTTGCCATGGATTTTCATGATGCAACTATAACCTCTCAGGATTTAATTTCCTTATTCAAAATGAATTTAGATAGTTCAGACCTAGATGGCCATAGAGTTTTCTTAGCGAACACATATTCTATGACCATTTGGCTACTTATTGTGCTCCATATGCCTTAACAAAGCCTTTGACTTTATTTCCACTGCAAACTTAGTAAGAAACTATGAAAAGTGCTTCTGGGGTTGCAAGCCTGTGTCTCAGTCATGCATGATGACAAGGACACTACAAGGTCACTGGGGTTTTGGAGGACTCTGACATTTCCTTGTCAGAGCACAGAAAGGGCAGCAACATCTAGAAAGTTCTCCATAGCCTTCTGTATCTGCTATATTACCTGAGTTTCTCCCAACATACCTCTCTAATAAAGCATCTTTGATTTGTTTTGAAGCCACAATCTATATATTTTTTTAAAAAATCTTGAAAGGCAAGAGTTTTCCTTACACTAAAGTAAAATGTGTTTCATGTTTTATGTGTTGGCCTTGGTCCAAATTAAATAATCTGGTAAAGTCATTAAAGGAATTTAAAACTTAAAGAACTGTTCTCCATTGTTCCTTTTCTCCGGATAAGCTTTACTATCTGAAAGAACTTATTTTAAAAGCGCTTATTTTGGTTCAAAAAGTATTGGTTAATATGTACCTTTGTGCTTAATTCCAATTTTTTTTCAAATGTCCTACTGTTCAGTGTCTAGCCTAACTTCTATTTCCTCTTGATTCTTAACTAAATATTTGGTGACTAGTCTATTGTTTCCTTCTTTATAAGATAGCTTCCTAGAGACAAATGCAAGGACATGCTAAGTATATGTTGTCACTAATAAAAACAAATGATTGGAATAAGATCATGGAAAAGAACATTTCCCACCCACTAGAGACAACTGCTTATCTATAGATCTGCAGAGGGATTGTGGATGAGAAATAGTCGTTCTTTCTAAACTTACAAGTGAGTGTGGAACATCTCAGTGATTATCTATAACTGAACATGTATCATATATATCTATCAGATGTAATTGCATAGTTATTGATAAAACATTGCAAGCAGATAGAATGGGTTATTATGTGGAATTAGTGTTTTAATCAATTTTAGCTGTACTCTAAACAATCTTTATTTTTTACCTGCAGATATGTGGTTGCTTGATCCTGGGAATATCAATATGGTTACGAGTAAGCAAAAATACAAAAGAGGTAAATACAGAAATAAATGCGAACTATTCTGTGCCAAAATTAGTTCAATTCTTATAATAATATGACTATAATAATTTCTACAACATTTTCTTAACTTCTTAGTGTAAATTATTTGTACTGGTATATGAGTTTATAATTCAGTGAATCAAATTTCTTATTATGTGTTTGGCACTGTGCTGGATATGAAATAATCCTGGAGAATAAGAGGAAGTAGTGTTTGAAAACTAGTAATATTTCAATAAAAGTAGAAATCAGAAAGAACTGAAGTAGTAATTTCTCTCTTTCACTATTTAAGGCTAGCCTGATGTCTGGCTTGAGACTACAGATCACCTGTGCTATCTTGATTGGTCCAAAAGGAATGTAGATAGATGGAAGTTCTGTTGGAGAAAAGAATATGAATCTGGATTCTAATGGCAACCAAGAGGAAAGAGAGTTGGTGTTTATTTGTCACAAATGGCATTGAAGGAAGGAGCTGGGGATATACAACTTACTGCCTATGTCAGATTAACAAACCTCCACTCACCTCCACTCATCACCAAACACCTTTACATGTCCAAGCAGAGTCCTTAGTAGGTTTGAAAGAAGTTTACTTAATAGAACCCAGCCTTGGAACTCCCCATGATGCTAATTCTATGATGCTAACTCGCTCTTACAAATATAGAAGGAAGGGAAAGAGATGTGTGTGTGTAGGGGGGGGGGTTGTTCCTCAATGGGTTGATTAATTGCTCAACATGTTGAGTAATAGCCTGACACTATCGCTTAGCTTCTTTTCTTCTTCTAATCCTTCCTTCCTTTCTTCCTTCCTTCCTTCTTTCCTTCCTTCCTTTCTTCCTTCTTTCTTTCCTTCCTTCCTTCTTTCCTTCCTTCCCTTCCTTCCTCCTTCCCTCCCTTCCTTCTTTGTCTCTGTCTCTCCCTGTCGCTGTGTCTCTGTCTCTGTCTCTGACACTGTCTCTCTCTGTCTCTCTCTCTCATACCTTTCTCTCCACTAGAATGTTATTGTTCTTTATGCAGAGCAGTCCATTTATTCTTAGTTGATTGAACTCTCCACAGGATCACATTTATTGCCATAACCTTTCCTCTCTCAAGAAGAATCTTGATTGCTATTTAAATATTATAAAGACAATATTAAGTGAGCGAGGAAGACAATCCAATTCTATTAACCAGTACTACATCATTGTATAGCTAGCTGCATTTTTAATTTATATTTTTTGTGAACATACTGTACAGAGGGGTTACAGTTACATGGGCAAGATAATGAGTACATTTCTTATCAAGCATTGCAGCCTCCTCCTTTGTTTACTCTTCACATCCCTTCCCAGCCTCC